CAAGACATGGCTATTTAAGCTAGCAGGACTGGCCTAAGGGTTATCTTAATTTGGTTTTAAAATAATTTTAACAAGAAAAGGCCAATAATTAATATTCTATTTTAATTACATTTTAAATTTAGTATTTTTGTATTACGTACTTGTTTTAAATGGCTGTAAGCCGCCCTGAGTCCGTTTGGAGAAGGGCGGGGTAGAAATTTAAATAAACTAAATAAACTAAACTAAAAACCCACTTATGCATCGTCGGGTGCCGGGTGGGTGTGGCCATTGGCTAAGTGTGGCCCATTGGCTGGGTGTGGCCAATTGGGTGGGTATGACCCATTGGGTGGGCGTGGCTGCAGTGGTAATGGCAGACTGGGTGGGACTAAAAAGTTCAATCAATCAATTCGAACTTTGCAAGATCTTTTTTTTCCCCCGCAAGAAGTTGAAATTGACTGATTAACTGAACCTTTTTTTTTTGCACACGGCGGAGGCCTAAAGCGAAAAGGTTTTATAAAACCCAGCTGAAGGCCTAGGACTGGGGCGACGGTGCGCGTGCCCACAGAGAGGGCTCTGATTGCCGCCTCTGGCACCCGTACCATAGGTTCACCACCATTGCCCTAAGGGAAAAAAGCTTTCTCAGGGATTTCCACTGTCATATTTCTAGATATTCAATATGTGACAGAGCTAAGCAGGGCTTTTTTTGTCATAGAACACCCAGAACGGAGTTCCAGCACCGTTTTTGGATGGCACCTTGTAGGGTACGCAAAGTGGGTTGTATGACATGTGTGAGTTCCGGCAACTTTTTTTTTTTTTAGAAAAAAAGCACTGGAGCTAAGTATATATAAACCAAATTTTGAGGCTACAGTAAGTAATAGCCCCAATGGGACCTTATCTGGAGTAAGAAACTAAAGCAGCATCAAGATCGTTAACTTTAGAACTTAAATGAAAGACATCCAGGAAATAAAAGAGCTGTAAATTAGACTAAGCAATCAAGAAGGCAACAATAACTCCTTCTACAGTATAAAAAGTACAAAGATGGGTTCACAGTGTATTCTATTTAGAGGACTAGCACAAATACCAAAACTCCATGAATGAAAATTTAAATTACAACTTCTATTTTTAGGAAAACTGGGGACAACCTACTCATACTAGCTATTAATAAAACTATTAATATTATATACACACACACACACACTAGCAAATAATGCATTCTGGTTACAGAATTGTAATTCTTCTTTTGGAATCTTGTGAAATCCAGTTTGATAATGCCAATAACAATGACTTGGTATCTCTAGATGTTCTACCAAATTTTAATCAGCATGAGAACCACTTAAAGAAAAAAGGCACTGCAAGGAAAATAAATAGCCTTAAATACAGTTCAAGACATTTGTTCCATAGTATTTAATAGTATTTAAACTCTATAGAGTTTAATATTTATTAGGATGTCAAATAGATAATCTTGTCTGAACATAACTATCACAGTAGAATATGGCCTCTAAAATCTGTAAGTCCCAAATGATTTATGAAGAGACACACAGAAATCCAAAAGCTGGTTGTGTAGTTGGTTTAATTGTTTCTCCACCCTCATCACAGGTATTATTTTTGACACAAAATCAATATTCTGTCAGCTCATCCCATCCACATACTTGCACTGATCATCAGCAAATAACAGCTAGAACTCATGAAAAATGGGGACATAGTTATAATTTTGCAGAGACCGATATGTGCTGATGTACATTCATATGCTCTTCCCTTTTGATATCAGTCAGTAAGAAAGGAACTTCAAAGGGCACACCTGGGTTTCCTATTTTTTTTTTCAGAAATTGAGATGTTGCCAGCTGTTTGCCTTCAAGGCTGAATGGCTCATTTAGAAACTTTTTTTTTTCATCTTGATTTCTTTTAGGGTATATCTCTTGACA